GAGGGCAACAAAGTGAGACTGTCTCTCTAAAAATATATATATATATGTAATATATATGTACGTATATTATGTACATATATGTATGTAGTGTATATATATGTATATTATGTATACATATAGAAATAAAAAATATATATACATATATTTTTGCAGTTTTGGGCCGGGGCTGGGTTTGAACCTGTCACCTCCAGCATATGGGGCCAGCGCCCTACTCCTTTGAACCACAGGCACTGCCCTAAATAAAATATTTTTAATGTTTTAAAACATTAAATTATGTTATTGTTAAGTACAGGGCTCATCTGTAAATTACTCATTACTGTTTTCTTTTTTTTTTAAGAGACAGGGTCTCACTCTGTTGCCTTGGTAGAGTGCCCTGGTGTCACAGGGCACAGCAACCTCCAGCTCTTGGGCTTAGGCGATTGTCTTGCCTCAGTCTCTTGAGTAGCTGGAACTACAGGTGCCTGCCACAATGCCTGGCTATTTTTTTGTTGCAGTTTGGCCAGGGCTGGGTAGAACCTGCCACCCTCGGTATATGGGGCCGTGGCCCTACTCACTGAGCCACAGGCGCCGCCCAATTACTCATTACATTTTAATAATGAGAACATATATGAGAGTAGAGAGAATAGTTTAGTGATCCCCATGTACCACGGCAGTGTCAACAATTATCAGTACCTGGTCACTTTTCTTTCCATGATCCTTTCTGTCCTGTCACACTGGGTATTTCTGTTTTGTTGGGTTTTTTTTTCAGTTTTTGGCCAGGATCCGGTTTGAACCCACCACCTCCGGGCATATGGGGCTAGGGCCCTACTCCTTGAGCCACAGGTGCTGCCCCACACTGGATATTTCTGAAGCAAATCTCAGATATTTTATTCAAAAAATCTGTAGCCTTGTTGTTTTTCTTTTCTAAAGCATAACCCCCAAAGCATTATCATCACAACTAAAAATTTTAAAGAATAATTCCTTAATATCACCAATGTTCACATATCTCTGATTTAAAAAAAAAATTCACAGCTGGCTGTTAGAATAATGATCTGAATTTAAGGCCTACAAGGTTGAATTTGGCTAGTTAAGTCTTTTCATGCACAGGTCCATTTTCCTTTTTAAAAAAATTGTTTTAAAATCTTGGAATTTATTTGAAGTACTTCAGCTGTTTGTCCTTAGAATGAAATGACACTTAACAAACGTTTGACCACCTGTTCTGTGCTAGCACTGTGCTTTGTGCTAGGAATAAAAGGGCGAGCAGTTATGGTGAGAACCCTCTATTTGGGGTCAATCACTGATTCTCTGACCTCCGATCCCTTTTTTATGTATTTCTTTTTCATGTGTGTGTGTTGTGGTTGTTGTTTAAAACAACAGAAATTTATTCTTTTGACATGTTCAAAAGGCCACAAGTTGGAAGTCTGTTTCATTGAGCCAACACCAAAGAGTTGACAGGGCCATGCAGATCCCCCTTTTCTAACAGAGCAGGACGGGGCCAGATGGTATATACTCTCTGCTCTGACCTATTCTGTGGACCCACCCTGGTCACCAGGATCCACTCTGCGACTACACCAAACTCCAGCCCAACACATTCCTAGGGAGCTGAGACCAGCAGACGGAAGTGGGCTCCCAGGCCTGTAGGGGCGGGTCCGTGCAGGCGCGGAGGCGGAGCGCTTCCCTCGGGTCCCTGAGGTCCCTGGGGTCGGCTCCCCCACGCGTCCAGCCGGGCTTAGAGACGGAGGTAATGCAGGAGGAGCTCTCCTAAGACGCCAGGAAATCCTCACCCTTCGAAGGGCGAGCGAGGCTGGAGTCCCCGCGCTCGCTCTAACCGCTGCGCCTGCAGTGGCCGGTGGCGAACGCTAACGGCAGCCACTAGGTTTTCTGGGCCGGCCTTGGCTCCCTCCCAACTACAGTTCCCAGAGTTATCAGCGGCGAGCCGGTTGCAATGGAGATGGGCCAGGCTAGAAATAAGCAGGTTCGTCGACTCTACGACGGTCGATGGCTCCGGCCAGCTTTTGATCACACGCAAGACCACTCAGACACCTGCGGCTTCAGAATTAGGCCGTCCACGTGCCCCGGGCCCTGCGTCCTGTCCACTGGCAAACCAACTACATTTCCCAAAAGGTGCCAGGCGCACGCCACTTACAGTCGCGAGGCGCCCAAACGGTAACATCGTGGAATTGCCAAGGAGATAAGTCCCGGGTATTGGGCCCCTGACGCCAGCAAACAGAGAAAGGCCTAGAGAAGTGATGAATGGGAAATCTGGTTGTGTAGCAACGTTAAAGAGCACGTCTCCTCTGTCCACATTTCACGGACACTCAGGGCCAAAGCGAACGTCGCACACCCTTCTGGGACGCTGCCTCTAGAACTATGGGAAATGTAGTCACTGATTCCCTGCTACCTCCTCCGACAGCTGTTACAAGCCAGGTACGCCGAGAACAAAAGCCCTCTCCCTTCTTGTCCATTCAAACGCAAATTTTGCCTCCTAAGTACTTACGGAATTTGTACCTTTCTTCACACTACAACCTTGACTTGATTCCAGTCGTCTGTTCCTTAAGTCTGTTCTCCACCCCTTCCCCAGAGTGATCTGTCCCTGGTGGGCTTACAGCTGTTAATGGCTAATAGAATAAAGTCTGTGCCCTTTGGCTGGCGTGTATAGTTGACCTCACCTACTGTCTCCCACTATTCTCCTCCTCATAGAGAAGAATCATATCTACAGTGTTCATCTCATTTATGAGTGATATCTTAAAGCCACTGTCACTATTTTTTAAAATACAGAGCTCAACTTCCTGCTGTTAAGTTGCACCCTAAAAGGGTGATAGATTCCAAGTGTAGTTGGATTTGCAAAGTAGACATATTCTTGAAAAGCACTTGAAATAGGTTTCTATGAGTAGAAACCAAGTTCATCATTTACTCTGATAAAATTAGCATTTTATTCCTCTGACCAAAATATTTAATTAAATGATATGGTTAACTAGGTGTTTTCTGGGCTTTTTAAGGTCACGCAGAAGAAACAGGAATGTTTATGAATAAAGCACTTATCACAAAACTTTAGCAACACTGTAAATGTAAAAGAGATGGGTTATTTTTATTTCTCACAACACTTTGAACATCTAAAATCTATTATGCCTGATTGAAAGAATAAATCTACACTGGGGCTTTAGAGAAGGATGCATATTTTAAAAGCCTATTATAGCCCATCAAAAAGCCAAGATAGGAATGAATTATACAGTGCATAAAGATAAATGATGTGTTGCTCACATCAAAGCACCAAGAACTTTCCTTTTGAAGTGGGAGTAGTTGGCACACACATTTCCATTGGCTTTTAACTTCAGTAAGAATGGCCCATAACATAAATATATTTAACTGATAAAGTAGTTTAGAGAAGTGATATCAAAAATATGTAATCTGTTCTTAACATTCAAGTTTCCTCCCTCCTCATTTATTTAATTTCTTTGATTTTGGTTTTTAAGACATGGAACCATTCATTTCTTGTCTAAGGAAAGAGTACAGTCATTGAGAAACCGTCAGCCAAGGCCAGGACATTCCTGTAACTCTCAAAAATTAGATGGGGAAGGCACAGTCACCTTCTTGAAGGTCAAGATATAGAAGAGCCATATTTCAGAGTAATTTTCTTTTTTGAGCCAGAGTCTCAAGCTGTCACCCTGGGTAGAGTGCCGTGGCATCACAATGCACAGCAACCTCAAACTCTTGGGCTTAAGCGATTCTCTTGCCTCAGCTTCGCAAGTAGTTGGGATTACAGGCACCCACCACAATGCCCAGCTATTTTTTGGTTGTAGTTGTCATTGTTTGGTAGGCCTGGGCTGGATTAGAATCCACCAGCTCCAGTGTATGTGGCTGATGCCTTAGCCTTTTGAGCTACAGGTGCCGAGCCCAAAGTAATTTTCTTAAGTGATACACATCCAGTTACCTTTTCAATGGTTAACAGGAGTACTACTTTTTTAAAAAAATTAACTGCTGTATGTCCTCAGTCACTAGCAAAATCTATGCTATGTGACAGAAGATTAGCCTACCTTATGGATATAAAGGTTTTCTAGTGTTCCATAAGGCATCTAATGATTTCCAGGAGCTTTGCCTGAACGATTTTAAGACATGGACATTCGAGTTATGATGTAAGTCATACTTTTCTTTACAATGGATAGAGCTTCTGAATACTAGGTTGGTCATTTGTTTGGTTCAAAGAAAGAGGATGTAAGTTCTATCTGCAGCTACTTGCAAACCATATTCTAAGTGGCTTCCCTTCAAAAATGTTAAAACATCCTTTAATTTTGTCCTGCAATGGTTGTGGTTAGTTTAGAGTGTCAGAGGGTGACACTCTAGCCATGAGTGGAATCATCTGCCCAGTTACTACAAGACAGTAGAGGAGCAGGGGTGTGGGGTCCAGGCCTATGGTAGGCTGAATAATTTGCCCCTAAAATATCAAGCTCTATTCCCTGGACCTGAATATGTTACTTTATTCGGAAAAACGGTCTCTACAGATGTGATATTGGTAGAAGGACACTGGTGACTCTTAGTAGATGTTGGCTCAGGTGGGATGGAGTAGAGTGAACCTGGGGACTATGGGTTCTGGAATGTGTGGAAAGCCCATGCCACAAGCCTCAACAGTCTTGGAACTTCCCAGGACATGGCCAGCAGGGAGTAACCAGAGTGCCTACCGTTGGAACAGCTGCCCCATCTCAGTAGGACACACATACTTTCCAGATACCTTGACATCATCTTTGGGAGAAGGCAGAAGTGGATTGTAACCATGAATTAATTAAATATTTATCCCAGAGACAGAATTAACGGGAAAGCCTTTAACTGTAAGAGGTGGAGATAGCTGATACTTGTTATTCACAGTAGTTATGTTCTATAAAGTCACCAAGAACACTGAATTAGCAAATAATGAACATTTGCTCCTAGGGCAAATACAAGGTCAATTTCTATGAGTCTCTGTCACATTTCCATCAGCTGGTCAATATATAACTTTGTTTTATGTATTTCTTTTTAAAGACATTTTATTTAATATATATTTGATCCATTAACATTGAACTCATGGCTGACAGCACTGTTACTCACACTTGAATGAAACTTACATAAAACAGATACTTTCATTTCAAATAAGCAGATGAACAACTACAGGTCCACAGGAATGAAAAAACACAATTTCAAGTAGGGGGAATGAGTGGGGGGAGGGGCTCAGTAAGCTCTCACCTAAGGAGCACAATTACCTCCTGGGTAAAGGATTCAACTACAACTTGAATGCCACCTAACAAATGTGAACAATGTAACCCAATCATATGTACCATTATATTAATCCAAAATAAATAAATAAAACACATATTTTCTCCATAGGCACATCACAGCCTGCTTGCACTTAGGGAAACTAAGCACTGCAGCACTATCCTTGGGGGCATGTTAAACAGCAAAATCACCAAGAAAAAGCAAAAAATGTGAAAATGTGACATAAAGTAGAACATGAAAAGGCCATTTGTTTATAGTATGAGAGCTGAAACGAGAAGGCAGAACTCCCGTTTGACTTCAGCTGGGAATGTGTGCATTGGGCAATTCCGATTTTTTGCCACCCTGTGCTTGTCTATAAATAATAAGGAAAGTATTGATTGGGAGGTTACAAGTAAATTTTAGTGAGTAGGCAAATTCCCAAATACAAAATCCATGAATGAGGGTCAACTATACCTTCATTTAGCATTGTAAGTACCCCAGGTGCTTTGGAGGGGAACATGTGAGATTTAAAGCAATTTAAAGATTTAAAGCACTTCTAGAAAGTGTAGAATCTTTTTTTTTTTTCATGTCCAACAGGTAGTACTTTGTCTCTACCTTACTATTATTTAGAAAAATAGAATGAAAGCTCCATGAGGGCCAAGATTTTTGTCTTTCTCATTTATGCTGTATGTGGTCAGCAGCCAAACTGTGCAGCGCACATAGCAGATGCTCAACCCAGTTGGTATTTGTTGAGTAAATCAAGGAATGAAAATTATCACATTCAAACCAATACCCGTGGATTAAACTATTGTATCATGGGGTTATGATAGTTACAACGGCACAAGTTATATATACATGTGAAGGGGAAAAAGAAAACCCTCAAATTTCCAGCTTTGGAATGGTCTGGGGCCAGGAATTCAGAACTCAATGACAGGATTTTTCTCAAATGGACTAAGAACAGAGCATAGATGGTATGAGTCATCTCCCTGGCTTACTAGTAGTACCTTCTAGCTGATGGGAAAATTTTTTCTATAGCGGAGAAGAAAACATCAGTAGCTGCATGTGATTTCAGATGTGCAATGAGAAAGATGTTGGTATCATCAGGAATGTGGGAGTCCCAGGTGAACGCTGATTAGGTAATAATTGACATCTCCTCCCTGTCTCTGCTCTCAGACATGGAGTTGATTATGCCTTTTAAATACTTTATGAATTCCATCCGGATATCCTCAGGGTCATCCTCAAGATTTGAGTGCACCAGCTTCAGCTTGTTCAAGGGTGGTGCTTAAAAAGGAAAATAAGGTTAATTAGGTCTGGAGTTTTACCAAGGGGATCTTTCCAGCTCCCTGTGACCTGAGACTCCTAGAAGCCAATTCTGTTAACTTTCTAAAGTCCACAAATAAAGTTATGTCTTGCTTGACACAACTGAATAGGGAACAGTTTCACCATGCTGCCACCTGGTGATAGAATAAAAACTTTACAAACCACTTCCAGATCCTCTTTGTTCTTAAACCAGAAAGGAATAAGATTCTCTCTTCTTCTCATTTTGTTTCTGAATATTCTCTGAGTTGTTTTTCAGGATGACTTTGTCACCTCTGGCATATGTGTATCATATGTGAATTGGAAGTTATCCTCGAGAAAAGATCTGTCAGGAAACAATGTCCCCAACAGTACCAATGAATGGCCAAAACCAGGTTTTTCCCACACTGAGTGAGTGCCTGCTTCTTAGGTGTCTGTATCCTGGCCTGGATGGTATGATGAACCTTGCAATCTGACAATTCTGACTTTCAAGGTGAGAAAAACAAATATCTAGTTCTCAGAACTTATCCCTGTTGTTAAAAAAAGAGAGAGAGAGAGAAAAGAAAAACAAATATCTAGGACATAGTAGGTGTTCAATAACTGCACATACCTGGTGGTTTCAAAGACATATGGAAATGTATAAGTGCCTCAAATGTTCAAGACAAAAGAAGAAAGAGAAATTCCAGCCTTCTTACACAAAGACAGTCTTCCTTTATCACCTCCAGAGCCTGGTTTGTGGTGTGCAATTAACAGACACTGAGTATCCTGTAAGAACTGCTGCTGGACAAAGCAGGAATACCACATTTCTATTTCCTTCCGGTGGCTTGGGATGTCGGCATTGAAGATGATCACCACTCCATGGGCATCCTTCATCAGGGCTGGCCAGCAGGATTCAAACCTGCAAGGCAGAAAAAAAGCCAGAGGGGGCCAGGCATGGAGGTTTATGCCTATAATCCTAGCACTTTGGCAAGCTAAGGTGGGAAGGATCACTTGAGGCCAGGAGTTCGAGACCAGCCTTAGCAATATAGCAAGACCCCATCTCTACAAAAAATTAGCTAAGTATGGTGGCACATGTCTATAGTCCCAGCTACTTAGGAGACTGAGGCAGGATTATCTGAGGTTGCAGTGAACCATGATGATACTACTGCACTCTAGCCTGTGAACATGAGAACATGTTTCAAACAAAAAAAAAAAAAAAAAAAAAAAGCCAGAGGAAATTTTAGGTCATTTTGGTTTCTAACTGTAGAGTTTATAGTATCTTTTTTTTTTTTTTTTTTGAGATAGAGTCTCCCTCTGTTGCCCTCGGTATAGCACCATGGTGTCACAGCTCACAGCAACCTCAAACTCTGATTCTCTTGCCTCAGCCTCCCAAGTAGCTGGGACTATAGGCACCCATCACAATGCCTGGCTATCTTTTGGTTGTAGTTGTCACTGTTGTTTGGCAGGCCCGGGCTGGGTTCCAACCCGCCAGCTCTGGTGTATGTGGCTGGCACCCTAGCCACTGAACTATGGGTGCCAAACCAAATTTATAGTATCTTAGAGCAGGCTCGGTGTCTTGCACCCATAATCCCAGCACTCTAGGAGACTGAGGGGGGTAGATCACCTGAACTCAGAAATTTGAGACCAGCTTGAGCAAGAGTGTCGCCCTGGCTCTACTAAAAAGGGAAAAACTGGCCAGGCGTTGTGGTGGGTGCTTGTAGTCCCAGCTACCTGGAAAGCTGAGGTAAGAGAATTGTCTGAGCTCAAGAATTTGAGGTTGCTGTGAGCTATGACCCCATAGCATTTTATCCACGGCATCTCAAAACAAAGAAAAGAAAAGAGTATCTTAGTATTAATAATTGGTTGATGACTCCTATTTGTATCATAACCCAATTGCTAAAGTTTATAAAGCAATACATGTCATCAAATAATTTATCAAGCCCTTTATACATGCCGGGAAACATGGCAGGACCAATTCTGTGGTATCTGGTGGATAGACGATTTGATTTTTATGCCATTTGATGAAGCAGACCTTCTTTGAAGGAAACATACTTTGTATCCCCGCCACAGTCCCATAGTTCAAATTCACACCCTGAGCCTTTGCTGTTGCTGGTAACGTGTGGGTTCTCAAATTCCAGAATCCTAAAAATAAAACAACAGCAGCAATACCTATAATTAGGAAACATTATACTTTTGAAGTGCCAACAGCAGCAAAAGTAGGAGGTGGGTGATAGCTGGGGACTCTATGGGACACAAATTTGTCAGGGCTTACCTTACTCCTTGGGTTGGGTTGTATTCAGTGATATCAGAAGATTCTGTCAGAAAGTTAGCCAAAACAGTTTTTCCACTCTGAAAATGAAAGCAAATAAAGGTCTTTGTTGAAGTGCAGAAATGGAAACCATAGAAGAACCCCCCAATAGTTGTCCTTATATTAAGTGTAATGGAATACAGTTGATGGCCACCTGAGATCCCCAGGACAGAGGAATCTTTCTGGTTGGGATGTCACTGCCTTGCTCTACTGTGGTGGGAGTGGCCCAGTCTGGCATCCAGGGAGCATGCAATTCCAGTGCTGCCTCTGCTGCTGGGTGACTTTACCCACAATGATTTCCCTGGCTGGCTCTTAGTTACCTTATCTGATGACAACAACAACAAAATAAATCAACAAAACAGCCCTCCACCCAAATCACCCATCTGTCCTCCCCAAAGCTAAAAACTATTATGCGTTTTTCAGGTTTTTTATATATATTTGCATCATTTGTTTAACAAATACTTCCCAATACAAGTTTTTTTTTCTCCCCAGAAGTATTCTTTAGGAAAAAGGCAATCTTTTATACGTAAGTCCTTACAAAAATCTAATTATGACCTACTCTCTCAACTACTTTATTTATTTATTTTTTGAGACAGAGTCTCAAGTTGTTTCCCTGGGTAGAGTGCTGTGGCGTCACAGCTCACAGCAACCTCAAACTCTTGGGCTTAAGTGATTCTCTTGCCTCAGCCTCCCAAGTAGCTGGGACTACAGGCACCTGCCACAAGGCCCAGCATTTTTTTGTTGCAGTTGTCATTGTTGTTTAGCAGGCCTGGGCCAGGTTCGAACCTGCTGCCTCAGTGTATGTGGCTGGTGCCCTAACCACTGAGCATGGGTGCCAAGCCTCAACTACTTTATTTTGAATGACAACTCCTCGACTAGAATAACCTCAATCAATGTCAATTTGGGAGGCTTGTAGAGACCACCAACAGAATATGAAAAAGAAAAAGAGGGGATGTTGGGTATGCAAACCTGTCTTAGTAATTTCTCCTGAGGCTGTGTCTTCACAAATTAAATATTACTTAAAAAATAACAATGCTTATGTTGTAGAGATTATGAATACTTATTTTTAGGATGAGCAAATAAAGCAACAAGCCTGATGTTTATAGGAACAACTCCTGGGGCTTGGAATACATTTCCAGGAACAATGTCATATGTAAATTCAAAAAGTGCTTTTCCAAAACAACTTAGATGAGTGGAAAGATGACATAGTTTGGAAACTGTGTCAGGTGTTAAGTGATTAGGTGATCCAGGCATATAAGCTATTTGTCAGTGTCTACTTTGTGGCAGGTGCTGTTGAATAAATAAGAAAAAGGTGAGGTAGTGACAGTGCTGGGATAATAAGGCAGTGTGATGTAATTAAAGACTTTGAAATGAGGTAAGGGGGTCAGGAAGGATGAAGAGTTGAAGTTTAAACTGAAATGACAGGCCAGCCAGCAGAGGAAATAGCTAGTTCAAAGGCGCTAGGACAGAAAAGGGTATAGCAAGCTAAAGGAATAGAAAGGCTGGTAAGTTTAAAGAGTAATAAAAGAGGGGGGAGAAATGTATATGTATAAATATATTTTGTCACTGAAGTTGGGTGATGGGGACCAAAAGGTCATTATTTTTTCTCCCTCTGTCTACATTTGAGAATTTCCATAAAGTAAAAAAGATCTATACCTGTTTTGCTTTTTGTAATTCTACACATATTGGTGGTTCCTGTCTATTTCTCCACATTAGTACATACAAAGTGGCCTCATTTTAATTGCTACAGTGTTCCAATGTACCTCAGTTTACCATCCTAGATAATCTCTTAGAGATGGGCTGTTTGCAACTGTTCAATATTGTGCATCACCGATTGAGAACATGGACAAGCACTTAGTTACAGAAGATTCTCAGAAATGTAACTGCTGCACTATGCTATGCACATTTTAATAACGTGCTCTTCAAAAAGCTCTTATCAATTTATAGTTCCACCAACAGTCTTAGAATTTTCATCTTCAGGGCGATGCCTGTGGCTCAAAAGGGTAGGGCACTGGTCCCATATGCTGGAGGTGGCGGGTTCAAACCCAGCCCTGGCCAAAAATGGCCAAAAAATAATAATTTTAATCTTCCTACATTCATCTTAACACTGTTTTTTTTTTTTTATTAAATCATCGCTGTGTACATTAATGCAGTCTTGGGGTTAACACTGTGTATTATCAATCTTAAATTTTTCCTGTCCAATGTGATGGGCAAATAAGTACCATCTTCTTGTTTTAATTTGTGCTCTTGTAGTTATGAGGGAGCACCTTCTCCTACTTAGGTGGCAATTCTATTTCTTGTGTGCTAAGCCTTTTCTTGATTTGCTGTTTCTCTTTTCTTTACTCATTTATAAACTCTCCTTGTATAGGTAGTCTATTAATCCTTTCTTTGTGTAATTTATTTTGCAAATACACGAACCTTTACTTTCACTGTAATTTCTTTTAAGCCTTCTTCATTTTTGTGTTGGGTTTAGAAAAAGCTTTCTAACTCAAGATCAAAAACATATCTTTCCACTTGGCGCCCTGGTGCCCATAGCTCAGTGAGTAGGGCACCAGCCACCAGCCACATACACCAAGGCTGGCGGGTTCGAAACCAGCCCAGGCCACCTATACAACAGTGACAACTGAACAACAACAAAAATAGCTGGGCGTTGTGGTGGGCCCCTATAGTCCCAGCTACTTGGGAGGCTGAGGCAAGAAAATCACTTAAGCCCAAGAGTTTGAGGTTGCTGTGAGCTTGACACCACAGCGCTCTACTAAGGGCAACATAGTGAGACTCTGACTCAAAACAACAACAAAAACAAACAACCCCCCCATATCTTTCCACATATCCATCTACTACAGTGGTACTCAACGTATAATCCCTGGGGGGGGGGGGATGTATTAGCAAATGTACACTCTCAGGCCACTCCCAGACCTACTGTATCAAAACTCTGGAGTGGGACTTAGCAATTTGGATTTTTTTTTTTTTTTTTTT